GGAATATAAAATACCCAGGTACTAAAGATGAATTAACCATTTAGAATATATAAAACATTACTGCGGCACTCATATAATACAACTTATACCCCTATGTTGACCATAGTATCCCTCTAATTATAATACCCATATATACTGCTTAAATTGTAAAGTACCCTGGGTACTTTAGCCCACAATATATGGTGTGAGGGGCAAGATCGACCCTAAAAATTCTATTTTTATATTACTTTTCTTGTTATTACCGAGAATTCCTGGTATTAGATTATAGATATCTAAAAGATAATGAAAATAAAATTTATCTGGGAAATAAATTAGATAACAAAACTTAATTAGATTCGATGAATTCTGTTATATGTAAAAATAATTATATAAATAAGAGCTTTTCTCCCTCAATAAAACTCAGTTAAGCATTGGCCTTCGAAATTTGAGTAGAAGTGTTAGCTCTAACGTTCCCCTTGAATAAATATCCATTATCAATAAATCATTGTTAAAGACCTTTGTCCTCATGACTATATAGTATTCGTATTTTCTGCTTTTCATAAGAAGTAAAAGAGAAAGAGAAAGTTACTAATAGTAACCCAAAACTCCTTTTTATATAAAGCATAATAATTGATTAAACATTGATCAACGTCATTGTTAACTCAAGATTACTTACAATACCGATACCGTGACTCTGTTATCCAAGTGACTCACGTGATATCGTGAATGCAGTTCACAATCGAAGTCAAATATCGAAACCTTAAAATACTAGAACTTGGAAATTAGAGTTCTTTTTAGTCTCAATTGAGTCAATTTATATAACTCATACAAGAAAATCGAAAGATATACTTATCCGAATCACCAGTTACACCGCAGCAAAACGCGGAAGCCTTGAAAATCAAACCCTTTCTACGCTCCTTTCTAGTCTTCAAAATTCAAGGTTTAGGAGTCTTTAAACCGCCTTTAAACAGTTCTAGTTTGTTGGGTTAGTTAGATTAGTAGTTTCTAGCATTAAACCTGTTAGTCCAGACTTTCTTAATGGTAATCAAATAAAATAGCAAATAAAATATGTGATGAATTAAAATATGTGATCGAATTAAAATACGTGATCGAGTTAAAATATGTGATCGAGCTAAATATATGATCAAGCTAAATATATGAAATATTGTTATCAAGCCAAATATATGAAATATATGTGATCGAGCTAAATATATGAGTATATGTATGTGATTGAGCTAAATATATGAGATATATGTGATCGAACTAAATATATGAGATAAATGTGATCGAGCTAAGTATAGGAGATATATGTGATCGGGCCAAATATTGACAAGCGATTGAATTAGAGATAAAAAAAAAAGAGAGAAGAAAAAAATAATAAATAGGCATCATAATTCTTTGCATACATCTTTCGCATATATTGCTCTTTCTATCTTGCTTTATTTTACATTGCTTATTTACGTTTCTTTTTATATTTTCTTTAAATTGCCTTTTTTACCTTTTTCTGCCTTTTCGCCCTTATATTTCTTATATTTCTCATTTATATTGCCTTTTTATATTCTATCTTATTTTATATTTTTCTTATTTATATTTCTTTTTTTCCTACCCTGCTTTATATTTTGATTTTTCTATCTTCTTGCTTTTTAAATCTTTTGGCTTATATTTATTTATTTATTTTACCTTTTTTCTCATCTTGCTGTTTATATTTCTTATATCCTTTTTTATATTTCTTTTAATCTTTTTTGTCTATATTGAATTTTTTACGTGTTCGCTTATATTAATGATGGAAGATTCAATAGCTTCACCTGATAATACCATTGCCAGTACCTCAACACACAGCGACACTGAAGCAGAAATAGTCAGTAACACATATCGCACTAAAGACCACTGGGTGCCTTCGACAAAAAATGAGGGTCAAAAAGTTTGGAGATGTTTTCATTGCAAAGAAAAAACATTTTCAATAAATACCAGTAGATTACACTTAAAAACTCATACTCTGAGCTGTTCTTATTCTCCACTAAGCGAAGGTGAAATATTCCAGCAGATCACAAAAGTAGAAATGGATAAATCAATAATTGACTTGGTTGTTAGAACAGGAATTTCTTTCAGCATCCTTGATAACCCATTATTCCATAAAATGGCTAGAAATCTTCGTTATGTTATAAATTCATATAAGGTCCCACATTCGACTACAATATCACGACACCTTATTGGCGATGTATTTAATAAAAGATTCGATTTTATTAAGGATATGTTAGCCAAGACTTCTGGACGCATTTCACTAACATGTGACGGATAGCACTCAACCGTTCATAAGTGTTATTACAATGTTGTTACAGGATCATGGATTAGTGACGATTGGAAAATAGTCAATGTAGTTTTGAGTTTTAAAAAATCAGGTCAAATAGCAGTGGATATATTATCAGTAATAGAAGGTACCTTAGAAGAGTATTTCATTAAGAATAAGATCTTTGCGCTTACCATGGATAACACCACTACAAATAAAGCAGTAAGCCGGTTACTCCAAAATAAGTTGCCGAATAAAGAGTTGATATCAATAGGTTAGATTTTTTTTAATTACTATTATTATATATTTATTTTTTAATTATCTTTTTTTTTTACTTTTATTTTTATTTATTTTTTTTTTAGGATGCATGTGCCACATTCTTAATCTTATCGTTCAAGAGGGCTTAAAGGAAATAAGTTCTTTGCGAGAAAAGATTCATAAAGTTATGAAATATTTAGCTAATCCCTTAGCTAGCGGTAGATTAGGAGTACTGGAATCATATTGTCAAATTTCTGGATTAAAGTTTCTGCAACCTATTCTTGAAATAGATACACGTTGGAACTCTACGCTAGCTATGTTTAAGAGATATATTCACCTACATCCAGCAATTCATAAAATGTGCTTAAAGAAATCATTGATGCCCGACTGCTTAGACAATGAAGACCTTATAACTCTCAAGTCCTTCTGCCAACTCCTTAAGCTGTTCGAAAGTGCCACGTTAGTTCTTTCTAAAGAACATTCAAACTCGATCTCCGATGCAATAATGGTTATATTAGAAATTAGTCAGCATACTAATAAAGCTAATATGATCAAAATAAAAAAAAAATTTAATAAATATTGGAATATAATTATTGATCATGTCATAATTGCGCATGTACTTGACCCGAGGTATAAGTTGGAGCACTTAAAGGCGACCTTAATTGAAGTTGGTAGATATAGAGAAAATGAAGCGGAGCAGTTTGTTAATGATATTCGGCAAAAAATTATTTTTCATGGAATGAAATATACAAGTGCAGAATATTACCTGCTGAGACTACTAAGACTACTGAGACTGCTGAAATTGTTGAAATTAATGATGATTATCCCATATCTAATAATTTTTTATTCCCAAGAAGAAGAATTTCAAAAAAAAGAAAATATGAACATACGAACACGACTGAAGCCGAATTAGAACTATATGAAAAAGAACCTCTTGAAGAATTCATAAGCGATAAAAGAAAAGAAAATAATGGAATACTATTTTGGGAATCGTTGTCAAAAAAATTCCTAGTACTTAGTAAAATGGCGCGCGATTATCTAAGTGTTAAACCTTCAAGTGTTTCTAGTGAAAGGTCATTTTCAAGGGCTGGTTTTACGATCACTAATGATAGAGCAACTATCGGCGAAAAAACTGTTTCTAGTACAATACTTATGCATTCATGGTTAGTAGAAAGCCAAAATGAGTTTAGTCCTCTTAAAAATCTTCCTTAAATAAATAAATTTCCATATATGTAAAATGTAATTCTAGTAAAATGTTACACAATTCTATATACTACGGCATTACATTCACTATATAAATAACGCATTTTCTTATTGTTTGTATTATTTTATTAAAATAAAGTTGCTATTATACGTACGTAAAAATTTGGATGCTATCAAAATTTTAGAAGTATGATATTTTATATTATTATAAAACGAGATAGACAAGGTAGTTATAATTTTAAGAGTAAATTTAGTAATTAAAAGTTTAATTAGTTAATAATATATTTCAGAGAATTGCATGCTACAGTACTTATTGAAAATTTAAAAGACAATTTTTATGCGTGTGTTGAAATATCATAGGGTGGATTTTAGAAGTAAGCTTGGTCATAAAAAGCTTGATTATTTAAGTAATTTATTTAGCACTATATGAATTAATCTATCGAGGAAATTTTTATTTTTATTATAGGTGATATAAAAAAACACTTATTAATTT